AGTCCCGACGTTGCAGTTTTTATGACAATTAGAAATGATACTAATTCAATGCCTGGTAAATGGCAGGCACTCAATGTCAGCCATTTTTACACATTTTTTCACAGACAGGTGAAAGAAGCAAGGATTTGAAGGAGGAAATTATGTTCACTAAGTCCTAATCCCCATAATTCTGGGAAGTATGCAGTAGCTCAATAAATATTTGATTGATTGATGGCTTGCATTACTGACGAGCCCACAGTGGGAAACTGGCCTGGCCAGGCAGGAGAGAATGGCTTTTATGTAACTCTCAATTCAGAAGCTGTGATTCCTTACAATTTTATGCAGAAACCAGACTTCAGTTCTGCATTGGCCTTAAACAGGGCTACCCCTTAGAACTCTTTCCTCCCCTGCAGCCTCCAAACTGACAAATTCTAGAAGGGCTTTTTACCTCGCATTACCATTATCATCACAAGGGCTGCTAAGTGCTGAGCACTGCCCTGTGTAAGGGCTTTCTAACACTACCTCCTGTAGTCCTCTGCTGCCTGATGAGGAGACTATGCTAATCCCAATTTACAGACCAGAAAACTCAGGCCTGAGGGTAAAAAAAAATTTCCTGGAGGCCATGTAACTGAAAAGTGGAGAGGCTGAGCTTTGAACACAGGCCTAACTCCAAGGACTCTATGTTTTCCACTCTTCCAAGTTGCAAGGAAAGAGAAGGAGGAGGTGTTGTCATTTGAGTTCCAGAAAATCCAGCATACCAATGAAAATGGAGGAGGCCCCTTTCCCATGGTGCTCCCTGAAGGAAGGTCAATGACTTTGGGAAGACCCATCAAGATCCATGGCTGGTGAGAAATATACATCGATAGGCGAACTGGTCCTCAGGGACCTTCTTCATTTTCCAGTGTCCTAGAGCCCTTCTCTCTGCATCTGCAACATGGAGGCCTTAGTCTGCTCTTGACTTCCTCTGTCTTTTTCACTTGGGGCAAGTGCTTTCTCTACAGAAATGAAGCAAGTCTTCTTGACCTTATGCCTTAACCATGACTGCCCTGTCTGCACATTCCCACTCTGGACATGATAGTTGGACCAATGTTTCTCTGAGTATACTCAACTGCATGTTAATAGGGGTCAAGATAGAATGGTTTTATTGTTAAGTTTGTTTGGGAAGCTCTGATCAAGTAAAAGTAAATGATTCTTTTCTACAGGACTTCTCAGGGCATTTAATATGTAAATGAGCTTTATTAAAACCCCAAGAGAAAACTATAGAATTTTCATTACCCAAATTTATTTGACCACAGAATCTTTTAATCAAGACAATCTTAGGGCATAGAATTCTGCTCTAGATAAGCCCCAGGAGAGAATCTAGTACCAGATAAGGATTTAAGGGTGAGTTGAAGAGTTATTTTCACCAAGTCTGGAGAGAAGACCAGAATTAGAATAAATTGTTATTGCTAACAACTAAGACTTAGTAACTGAAGGATTTAGCTTACTTTTTAACAATCTTTAGTTATGATGGGAGCTAGCCCTATATGTAATATATTTTTACAGTTCATTTGTTAAAATTATTTAGTTGTGATATGCTTTTATTTTAACATGATAAAAAGGAGAAAAATAATAGTAATTTTTAGTCCAGGGACAGCATAATCAGTATGATTGTCCATTTTTCTTTTTGTTTTTTTTGGAGAACAGATTAATAATGACCTAGAAAATTGGATCTGCGAATCCACACACATAAAGGAGCATGGAATTCTCAGCCCTTCATCCTCGGCTCCAGGTGGAGAGGGATGTCTCCTTACTTTGACCTACAGGTAATGGCCACTGTCTGATGATACCTCCACTCACAATTACATGACAAACCACTCTTAAGTATTCTGACTGTAGTGAATACCAGAGAGCAATTTGGTTAGAGGAAATAACTCTGCTTGGTGACAATTGCTCCTATTTTATAGATGAGGAAGTAGGGACCCAGAGTGCTTAGCCACTTGGCTACCTTCACACAGAAGGTTCTGCAGGTGAGTGATTAGAACTCAGACTGTTGACAGCAGGCAGACCATTTAGACGCCACTGCTCTAAAAGATCCTGCAGTGAGTAAGAAAAGTGCTGCCAACGATGCTAACTCTGTATATTTCCAGCAGTTTCAGTCAACTGCTAAGAAAACAACCCCAACCGGCTAAATAAGATGATGCTTTGGCAGGCTCTGGAGACATGGATTAGGAGAACCCAACCCAAACCATGTTTTTGTGATCTGCCCATCGCTTCTCTCCGTCCCTCTTTTCCACCGTATGCTGGGGAGGCAGAGATGAGCCACACTTAGGAGGCTGCCACTGCTGCCTCAGCACTGCAGCCAAGGGAGGGGAGGGGCGTCGGAAACACTGATGTCTGCCCTTGTTTGCTTTGGGCTCTCACCTGGGGCTTCAGATGAGCCTGGCTCAACCTTTTTCCTAGGGAGAGCATTTAATCTACTTTTAAAGGAATTTTAAAGATTATGCATAAAGACCTCAACAAGAGAGATTGGCACTCAATTAATGGGTGGAGTAAATGTCTCGAAGAACCCAACACAGAATCCCCTTCTTGGATTGTCTGGATGAATAGTGTTTTAAAAAAATCCAAACATTTGCTGCTGGACACTAATTAAATATCAAAATAATCCTGCAAGTGGGGTAGAATCCTCATTTTACAAATAAGGAAAGAGTGGCTCAAAGAAGTCAAGGCCCTTGTCTAAGGTCACCACAGAGAGAGGTAGACAAAGGGTATGAACGCAGATCTTCCGACGTCCATGATGACAGGCTTTCTGTTAGACCACAGGTACCTTACTCTTGTGTGGCTTTTAGTAAATTTTAAAGAGCTTTCACTTTCCAGTGAGGCTCATCATCAACCAGTGAATAGGAAGGGATTTGACAGGTCAGAACAGACGGTGTGTTAAATCACAGTCCAAGGTCACCCAACCCAAATCCATCATAGCAGAGGTCTTGCTCTCTATTCTCCCAGCTTGGTTTTCTTACTCTCCACTCACACTTAGCTTCCTTTCCCTACCATCCATTCATGAGTTTCTCAAGGAGGCAAAATTGTTTTGAGAATAGCTGAGGCCAGACATGTTATTCCCTTCCCCCATGTCTCCAAATACTGAGCATTGATTTAGTTGTTTAATACTCATAACAACCCCACAAAGTACATGCTATTGTCACCCCCATTTTATAGTTGAGGAAACCAAGACACATAAAAATTAAATAACTTGTTCAGGTCAAAGAGCTAGTGAGTAGTGGAGCTGGCTCTAGACAAACTGCAGAGCAGAGAATTGAGAATTAGCCACAGAGTACTTAAAATTGCTTAACTTGGGGTTCTTCAGACCCTGCCTCAGACTGTCTAGAAACCATCCCCAAAAGACAGAGTGCTTGCTGCTGATCTGATTGGAATTCTGGAGATATACCAACCACCTATTTCTGGGGATTCTAGAATCATTCTGCTCTACTCCTGTCATACCTCGTGAAGTCCCATATGTAGATAATAACCTGAGAATTTGCTCTAGCCATGTGTGGCATGGTTGAGTGTGGAGGTGGATTGCATGAGAATGGGGACAGTTGAGCTGTAGTAAGTTAGAGCAGCAATGTGTCAGTGTCCCCATTCTACCACCAAGGGTCCTTCACCTCCTCCCTCCTCCCCCCGCTTCCTGGCCCTGTTGGAATACTCATAGTCTAGACCAGTGTTGCCCAAACTTCCCTGATCATAGGGATTACCTGGAGGGCTTGTTAAAAATACAGACATACAAGCCCTTTCTCTGGAGATTTTCATTCCATAAGACTGGGGTGGGACCTGGGTATAGATATTTGTATTCTTAGACACTGGTCATCAGCCAGTTACCACATGTTTGTGTTATGTTTACCCTATGCAAGAAGCTGGAGGTTTAGAATGAATAGGACTCAGTTCCCTCCTTCAATGAGCTCAGAGCCAAGAGGGATACTGACAAATGAAGAGATAAGTATACATTAAATCAGGGCCATGGTGGGAAAAGTGCAGTGTATGGTGGGAGAACAGGGAGGGGCATCTAACTCAGACCAGATGGTGAAGGGGACAGGAGATCCTAAGGTCACCAGCTCTGATACAGCACGCACTCTTATCTTAAGATGAATGGGGTCTTTGAGCTGACTCTATCAGCCAACTAAAGAATGCTCACACTCTCTCCTCTCTTGCTTCCTGATCCAGAAATCATCTGCTGTTGATCTAGGATGGTGGTGGAGGGGTTTGGTCTGAGACTTCTTGTCCATGTCTACTTCTTCTTTCCAAGCCTCACACTTGCTTGCTTCGTACATGGCTCTCACTTTTCTCATGGGTCAGACATTTTATCTCCACTTTTATTTCCCATGAGCAACACTTCTTAGCTTAAGCCAGCCAAATGGCAGGCTGGCTTAAACAGATGTCCTTGGCTGAGGTGGGCCTAGAGTACACCCTGTGGGGTCCGCGTACTTTTCATCCCCCTCCCCCAACCCCAAGCCCTCCTCTGGGTATTTCTCTGAAGAGGTGGGCACAGATCACAGATGACATGTCATTGGGCAGTGGCACTCTGGCACTACAGGAAGGCACTCAGCCCACCTGGAAGAGGTTGTCTCCTCCTCACTCTTGTGTCATGGAGCTCAGTGGCTCTTGATTCCCTGGTGTCAAAACTCAACTCATCCTGTTGGATCAGGTGCTGTTTGTGTTCCCTAAGACCCTTGAGGAAATCACATGAAGGGAGGGTGGAGAGCTCCTGTCTTTTGTCAACCAAGGCAGGTTTGGGTGATTAAGCTAAGAAAGCAAAGTCGTTTTGGTCCAGAGGATTATTTTTGAGGTGTGTTGGGAACTTAGAAATAACTTATTGCCTAGAAGGCAAACCAAACCCAAGATGACTCTCAGCTAATTGCTGGCCTCTCCTTCTTCCAAGCCAGACTGCTTGGTATATAAAGGCCAGTCTCCTCTGTTGTCCTCATCCTCTCTCTTCATCCCTTTCTGCTCTTGCTAAGTGATTGCTAGCTCACCTCCAAGCTCTCACCATGAACAGACAAGTCTGCAAGAAATCCTTCAGTGGCGGGAACCAGGGCTTCTCTGGCCGCTCTGCTGTGGTCTCTGGAGGCAGCAGCAGGATGAGCTGTGTGGCCCGTTCAGGGGGAGCCAGTGGAGGAGCCTGTGGGTTCCGGAGCGGGGCAGGTGGCTTTGGCAGCCGCAGTCTCTACAACCTGGGTGGCAACAAGAGCATCTCCATCAGTGTGGCTGGTGGTTCCCGGACTGGTGGCTTTGGGGGAGGGCGTAGCAGCTGTGGCAGTGGCTTTGGAGGTGGCTATGGAGGTGGCTTTGGTGGTGGCAGAGGAATGGGAGGTGGCTTTGGAGGAGCTGGTGGCTTTGGAGGGGCTGGTGGTTTTGGAGGGGCTGGTGGCTTTGGAGGAGCTGGTGGCTTTGGTGGAGCTGGTGGCTTTGGTGGCCCTGGTGGCTTTGGTGGTCCTGGTGGTTTTGGCCCTGGTGGCTTTCCTGGGGGAATCCAGGAAGTGACTGTCAACCAGAGTCTTCTGCAGCCCCTCAATGTAGAGATCGACCCTCAGATTGGGCAGGTCAAGGCCCAGGAGCGGGAGCAGATCAAGACCCTCAACAACAAGTTTGCCTCCTTTATCGACAAGGTGAGGGAAAAGCCCAGGGGCATCATAGAGGGCTTGGGCCACCCAGGGGGTTGGTATAGAAAGATGCAGTGGGATCTGCCTGGCTTAGAGGCAGGGGTGTGGCTTCTTGTCATGGTTCTGCCTTGGTCCCTACAAGACAGTAAACCTGCCTCTCTTGCTCTTTGGGTCCTTTTTTCCCAGCGACAAAAGGCAGTAGGATTCTGACTCCTGATTTACTTCTAGGGCTAGGACCAGGAAAAATGAGGTGAGGGTCCAAATATGCTTTTAGTTCTTGTTAAGAATAGGGCATTAACTATGACACTATAATAGCTAATTTTCAATTACTCTTAAAAAGCAATTGTGAAAATCTAAACTGGCTGGTAATTAAGCTTGCACTAGTAGAAATCTTGGGACTTTCTCTCAATGACAGTATTGGCAACTGACTTACCTTCTTAATGGTGCTGTGCTTTAGCCGCTATTAAATTGAGGGGTCCATGCTGGTACAGGGGAGGGTGTGCTTGGTCCGGAGGATGAACCTGGGATTGGAAGTTAAACCTAGATTACCTGTAAGTCTAAAGAAAATCCAAAACAACCTGAGAAAAGTTAGACCTCATTGACTGTTTTCTCTGCCTGTATAGAGGTGAATAAGTTTTTTAATAATAAATAACTTTATTTATGCTGCTCTCCTTTAGTTGTGTTCTGAAGGATCTCAATAGACTAGAGAAGTGCTTGGTTTGACTCTTAGCTTTGTGTCTTAGTAGCCACATCACTTTGGGCAACCTAATTAAGCTCAGGTTCCTTATCTACAAAATGGGGATAATAACATCCCCTTTATAGGTGGTTGTGAGGATTAAATGAGAGGAAATATGTGAAAATAGGTATAGAGTAAGCACTTAATATTCTAGCTCTCCCTTTTCTAAATCTTCATCTTTCCCAAATTCCAAAAAAAAAACACAAAAAAACTCCAAAACAAAACCAAAACAAAAAACCCAATAAACAAAACAACAACAAAAACCCAGAAGCTATTGCAGTTAAAAAAAAAAAACTGGGTTCATGCTCCTTATTTCTACCCTTTGGGATGCAGGTGCGGTTCCTGGAACAGCAGAACAAGGTCCTGGAAACCAAATGGAATCTGCTCCAGCAGCAGACCACAGGCTCCGGTTCGGGCCCCAACAACCTGGAGCCTTTCTTCGAATCCTACATCAGCTTCCTGCGCAGGCAGCTGGACTTGGCTCTGGGGGAGAGAGGGAACCTGGAAGGAGAGCTGAAGAACATGCAGGTCCTGGTGGAAGACTTCAAAAAGAAGTGAGGCCTCAACTGGACACTTTTCTTTTCTGGGGGATTAGCAGGGAGGACTGACCCCACTTTGGGATTTTAATTGTTCCCGACTGCACCTTCAGGCAACACCTTGGATGGTTTATTGAGGGAAACATGACCGAGCGGAAGGGGGTGAGAGGGTGGGGACTGAGACTTCTAGGAGGTAATTATGACATGTTTTTCAGTCTCAGCGCAGGCTCCCTCCTACGCCAGCCCAGATGGGCAGGAGAGCCTCCCTGAGTTTGAAGCTCTTTAGGATGAAGAACCCTGCACACTTAACTGTACACAGGAATCCCTGTGGGAGTTTGTAAAAAAATGCACATTCCTGTGCTCTGGTCCTAGACATACAGGATCAGTGGGCACAGGCAGGTCCCAGAAGTCTGAGTGCCCCACAGGTCCCAGGGATTCTGGGCAGACAGTCCAGGCCTGCTGGGGAAGGCACTTTCAGGGTGTGCAGTCCAACCCCCATCTCTGCAGTTTCATTCAGCTTCCTCATGCAGTTCAGAGCGGTAGTTGACACCCCCTGAGGTCTGTGAGAGGCAAACAGGGCTTCTCACAGGCATCCTTGGGGGGTCAGGACCCATGGGAGTGGGCACACCTGCTCAGGGGAAGCCCCAGTCCAATTCAACCGCACAGACCTGGTGGGAACCCATCTGTGGCAGGCTGAGTGCTAGGCTCTGGGAGTCCAGTGACAACTCATATTCTCATCACTCAGAAACCTCTTTCCTCCTGGAATCATTCCAGTCTTTAATCTCGGCAGGAGATTTTTAATAGGCACAAAGCCGGTAACTTTGATGCATTCAGGAGACATGAGTTCATTGTTATCCCTAATTCCTACAAGAAGCAACTGTAATTAATGAAAAGAGAAACAGAAACACCGGCTCTGAGCAAATATCTCTCTAGGTCTCATATGTGCACTGTGCTTTGTGATGCCTGTCGAAGCCGCAAGTAGCTGGCTCCTTGAAATCTCCCTCCACCCCGCCTGCCCACACCTCAGCCTGTCACCCCGACTTGGAGGAGGGCAAGGAGAGGCCTCTAGACAGAATTGGCTATATAAGTGTGGGGGTTCAGTACAAAATGAAAATGCAGGGCCCTTGTTAAAATATTATTAAGAATTTAAAGATGGTGTCAGCAGAGCATTAAACTGAGTGTGAGCCCAGGGCCCCCTGTAGCTGGTCTTGTCTCTGAGTGAGGAGGTTCCGCACGAATGCTAGAGATCCTCATCTTTTTTATTTTTTAACTTCTGAAATGTCACTGTCCAAGTGTGTGTCTCTTTCCGTCCCAGGTATGAAGATGAGATCAATAAACGCACTGCGGCCGAGAATGAGTTTGTGGGACTCAAGAAGGTAAGTGAGTTGGGATGGGCAGGTTGAGGCTCTGTTTCTGGGCACTGCCACCATGGGGAGAGCAGAGCCAGCTCTGAGCATGGCGACCCTATGCCATGTATGGGGCTTACATTTTTGGAAATGAGCTGATTAGTAATTCCAACTGATAATGAACATTTTTTTGGATAGAATTAATCAAGGTTTCCAGCCCACAAATGTACTTGGATATTATTAAAAGTAACAGTGTATAAATACTTGTCGCTTGCTTAAATCAGTTATCATACAGATGGAACAGTGAGAAGAATACCTTTATTTCAATTCAAGAGGGTGTTTTTTACTGCTATGTTACCAAAGTCAAATATTAGAAAAATGTACTTTTTCTACCCTTATCCCATGCCTGGCTGATGTGGTTTATAGTGTGTTACAACGTTGGGGTTTGACTGGTCAAAGCAATTATAAGGAAGAATACCACCTTTTCTTTCTTTCTTCCTTTTTTTAAAGAGGGAAGGTGAAAATTCACAGTTAGGAGGAGGGGTGGGTGAGGGACAAAGGGGAGAGATGACGACTTAGGAGAGAGCTATGGGTGGTAGGGGAGCAGAGGCCCTCTTTTGCTTTCTGACCACCCTTCCCTCTGCCCCAGGATGTGGATGGGGCCTACATGAACAAGGTGGAGCTGCAGGCCAAGGTTGACAGCCTGACGGATGAGCTCAACTTCTTGAGGACCCTCTATGAGATGGTGATTTCCTTGGTTTGCCAAGCTCCACAGCCTTCCTGCCTGCATCTTCCCAAACATGCTTCTCAAGTGTAACTTTAGGGGACAGTCAAGTGGCAGAACACACACAAAAGCAGTGTCAGGGCTCAGAACTCAGCTCCGCCCTACCCAGGAAATGCTAAATTAGCTCCCCAGCCTGCATAGACCTGCCCACAGGGCCAAGGTTCCTCTCTGTCAGCCTTACTTTCCCATTTTGCTCTACATCTTCCCTCTGGCTCCTATACGAGTATCACAGCTAGCTCCGTCAGAACACTCTTCCCTATTGCAGCCCCATCGAAACCCACACAGAATGCTGCTCGCTGATACTTTCAGGCTGACCTGATTATATTTGTGTATTTCCTTTTCCTTTAGCTTTGTTGTCTGACATCCTTTCATCTATAACCGGGCCTAAAATGCAAGCTTATTATTCTAACTGTCCCACTCCTGGCCCCATTGTTGGATATCTTTGCTGATCAAAATTCTTGAACTTTTTCATTCCCAACATCCCCTGGGGCCAGAGGATAGTGAAGATGACCATCCATGTTCCCCACAGGAGCTGTCCCAGATGCAGAGTCATGTGAGTGACACATCTGTGGTCCTGTCCATGGACAACAACCGCTGCCTGGACCTGGACAGCATCATCGCTGAGGTCAAGGCCCAGTATGAGGAGATTGCCCAGAGGAGCAAGGCTGAGGCTGAGGCCCTGTACCAGACCAAGGTGGGAGCCCTCCTCCTATTCCCACACTCTAGTTTTAGGTCCTGCTGACCTTCATCAAGAATGCTTCCACACTTTGCAAAAACATGTTGGTTGGTTTCTCCTCTGTTAGCTTGGAGAGCTGCAGACCACAGCCGGCAGACACGGGGATGACCTGAAGAGCACCAAGAGTGAGATCATGGAGCTCAACAGAATGATCCAGAGGCTGCGGGCCGAGATTGAAAATGTCAAGAAACAGGTGGGTCTGGGGTTATTGGAGAGCCTGGAGATCTTCTGGGCTCTGGGGAGAAGGAGAAGCAACAGCTGTGCCTCTGCCACATGCTTTCTCTGTCCTTTCATGGTGTCACATGTGGAATAGCACCATCTCTGGGACATTCTGTTTCTCCAGATGTTTCTCGTAAAGGCTGGGCTTCCTGATGGTCCCTAAGAAGAGATGGTTGCCCATTCTAGTTTGCCAAATCTTGCAACTGTAGGGGTGGCCTTAAACACTCAGCTCTCAGTAGGATCTGCTCTCTGTGACTATTTGTCACATAACCTTGATGACTAATTTGTATCACTGAAATGAAATGATTAGGCAAGGGAGTTTTTAAACAGTCTTACCAAAAGAACCACCCACCAGACCACTACAACCTTTGCCAGCAAATCAGTGTTCCTTTTCTTGATGAGACATGAGTCAATTTCAGTGGGCCAGAGATGAATGAGCCACTTGCAAAACTGACTTCTGTTTTTCTGAGGATGCCCCATTGAATCTCTAAGGAAGGGAACAAAGGGATGCTGGATGGGGAAGAGACCTCTCAGGAAAGTTCAGGTGTTTGTTTCCTGGTTGCTACGCTAATTGATCTACTTTCCTCTGCCTCAGCATGCCAACCTTCAGGCAGCCATTGCTGAAGCTGAGCAGCGTGGGGAAATGGCCCTCAAAGACGCCAGTGCCAAGCTTGAAGGCTTACAGGCTGCCCTACAGAAGGCCAAGGATGACATGGCCCGGCTGCTGCGTGAGTACCAGGAGCTGATGAATGTCAAGCTGGCCCTGGATGTGGAGATTGCCACCTACCGCAAGCTGCTGGAGGGCGAGGAGTGCAGGTGAGGGGTGGCGGGGTCAGCATTCTTCAGATATAATTTTAAAGTGATGTTTGATAGTGAAGAAAGAAGGCAAGATGACAAGGAGAGGACAACCCAGACAAAGGGTAAGGAATCTCCTGAATGACAGCGTTTAGCATTCAAGCACCATTATTTTTTATTTATCAACATCATCCAACTCTTCAACTTACCATGGACATCAATATTGTATTACATCCTTTGTTGATCTTTACTATGTGTGATGTGTAAGAAAAAGTGCTTTGAGACTATAAAAAAAAAGTTATAGTGGCTGTCGGGTGGAACTTTCTGAGATGATCAAAATGCTTTCTATCTGTGCTGTCCAATACAATAGCCATTCGCCATTTGAGCACTTGAAATGTGGCTAGTGCAACTGAGGAACCGATTTTTACATCTGATTTAATTTTAATAAATTTAAATATTTTTATGTGGCTAACGGTTAACATATAGAGAGCTCAGTATAGACAGTTCTGCAACCACCAACTCCTGGGCCTGAGTCCATATAAGGAGGTGGCTGATACATACATACTCTGGAAAACTAACTCAATATCAAGCAGCAAGTTAGGGCTTAGTGAGTAGATATCAAGGGCCAAAAGTGTGTTAAGAATTGAGAGATCTTTATGCTGATAGATGCTTTAGGCAGTCCAGGTTCATAGCCTTTGTCCCTGGGCAGCTCCCAATCTGATGAAGAAAAGCAAAATGCAAGTGAGAGAAGAAAACGTAAGGATTTCTTATGAGTCCCTTTGGAGAGGAGTGCGAGTGAAGATGGAGCTCTGTGTACTGGGAGTTGTACAATGAGGAGGGAGTGGTCGACACCAGGGGGCCCCACATTGGCAAGGTGTGCGGACATATTCCATGTCTACTCAGATATGTGGACATGCCTGCTCCACAAACAAGAACGAGGCATAGGAAGATGAGCAGTGTGCACAGGGCATTTTCAAATTCATGTGTTGTGTCAGCTCCTCTCACATTTTACCCACCTTGAACAACCATCATCATCACCACCCCCAGCACCACCCCAGGAGGGCTCATTGGGGAAGGTCTCCTGGAAGAAGAAAGTCAGAAATAAAAAGGCCAGGGCTGGGTGGAGAAGGAAGGCAAGGTGGGAAGAAGGTCCAGCAGGGGAGGAGAGGTGAGAATGGGCTAATCAAGTGGAATTTACCTAGAAAAGATAATCTTGGGAACTAAGGGAAAGAAGATGAGATCTGGAGGGTGGCTGGTAGAGTTTCTGGACATCTCAACCCCTGAAGCAGCCCCATTTCCTGAGGAGATCTGGTCATGGAAACAGGCTTGGAATAGCCTTTCTTCCTCTGTGAACTTGACCCCTAGTTGGGCAAATGGGAGAACATGGCTCCCAAAATTATGAACCCTCAGCAGTGTGGCTAATGGCTCATTGCAGAAATAATCCACCTCTCCTTCTCTCCTTTTTTAGGATGTCTGGAGAGTGTCAGAGTGCTGTGAGCATTTGTAAGTACTCCTTCAAAAACCTTCTCCTGGATTGTAAAAAGAGGAATTAGGAACATCCTCCCTGACCTTCAGGCAGGAGAACCTGACCCATGAAAGGAGGCCAGGCCACCAAATGGTACCTCGGGTCTCAGGCCATGGCTACACACACTTAACTTAGTGTAAACTGGCACACCCTTGAGGTCTTGGGAGTTCCCCAGGTTGGAGAACCAGAAATTTATGTGGATACTCCTGACTCTTGTTTTTGGAAAATAGCACTAAAGGGCCAGCCTTTCTCTCTCTCTCTCTCTCTCTCTCTCTCTCTCTCTCTCTCTCTCTCTCTCTCTTAAACTAACTGAGGTCTCAGAGAAGTTGGGTATCTTTCTCTAAGTCACACAGCCAAGTAGGGTGGAACTGGGATATAGGCCTAGCCCATTAGCCTGAATCGAGTGCCTCTTCTCCTATAGCGGTGGTCAGCAATGTCACCAGCACAAGCGGCAGCTCTGGCGGAAGCCGTGGCGGCTTTGGAGGGGTCAGTGGCAGCAGCAGCGGTGGCTACAGAGGCAACAGCAGCAGCAGAGGCAGCAGTGGTGGCCACAGAGGAGTAAGCGGTGGCAACAGCAGTGGTTATGGTGGCGTTAGCGGCGGCAGCACCAGGGGGTTCCAGAACGGTGGCACTGGGAGCTACCAGAGTGGCAGTGGCACTAGCACCGAAGGCTACCAGAGCGGCACCAGCACCAGAGGCTACCAGAGCGGCAGTGGCACCAGCACCGGAGGCTACCAGAGCGGCAGTGGCACCAGCACTGGAGGCTACCAGAGCGGCAGCGCTGGGAGCAGGCTCAGCGGTGGAGGCAGCAGCTCTGTGAGCCAGAGTGGAATTGGCTCCAGCTCTGGTGGCATCCAGACCACTGGAGGCAGTGGCTACAAGTCTGGCAGTGGAGGCAGCACCAATATCCGCTTCTCTCAGACCCCCAGCTCAAGCCAGCACAGCTCCAAGTGATCCTCCAGGGCCAAATCTCCATGTCCACCTGCTTCCCTCTCAGCCTGCAACAGCACTCCCACTCTTAGATGCCAACCTCAACCTTGCTTTTCCTTAAATTCCCTGGAGAAGGGGCTGAACTTCTTTCTGGATCCTCCATCCTGAAGACATCTCCCAGGCCAGGGAAGGCCAGATGCTAGTCTGGGATGTTGATGTCCCTAGATATGACCTTGTGATGGCCCTTGACTTTGGACAGCAACATTTGAGCTAAAACCAGTGTGGACCTTCCCAGCCTGCCTGTTCCCACTCTGGCCCACCTCCCTTTCTCCCTGGGGGTTAATGGTCTGAACCTGGCATGTTTCAGCCTTGTCTGAGGAGGGCCAGTGCTAGAGCATGGAAGGTCAAGACCTCTGGACTATTGGTTCAAAGGATGCCTTCCCCACTTCTGGGCATCATATCTTGACTTACCTCTGTCTCCTTAATTCCCTTAGCTGTGGGTCCTCTGGTGATGATTATGTCGCATTTTCTTTTCTCAATAAACTGCACTGTATTTCACATTTTGGTGCTTGACTTTCATTCAAGGCATAACAGAATAGACAAGAGTGGAGGGAAATCAGGTGTGGATGGTGGTCTTCCAGAAGTTCAGTAGTGGGTAAACAGGACACTGAATTGTCTTGGCTTCTCCTTTACCCATTTGGTTGGGCTTCTTGTGATAGGTCTGCCCAAGAGTACTTATGTTGTGTAAGTGGGGACACTCCCTCCCCACTCCCAAAGAGATCTTATCATCTATCCTCTGCCCCTGTGAAGGCCCCTGTGATCCGGCCTTGGAAGAAAAAGGTTTTGCAGCGCATTAAGGGAATAGATTCTACCAGGACTTTGCCTCCTTTGTTCCACTCCTATGCCAGCCAGACACAGATCAAATTTTCTTTCTGCAAACATAGCTCCTGGGATCTGAAGGGGTAAATATATAACACCCTCTTTCCCTGGTCACGTTCTAAGCCAATTTAAAAAGACAAAGGAATGAGCTAATGGAGAGCCAATACTGCCTTTATTATCAACAAAGCAGGTATGGGAGAATGTGGCTTATACTTTGGTGAAATTCATTTCCTACCATGGACCTCAGGATTAGGCTAGATTTCCCCCTGGACAAAGGCAGCATAAGGCCATCATGATCTTCCCTATGGGGTTAGACCCCTCATGATAAATAAGAGAGCAGAACATAAACTTGCTGTGGACAGCCAGACCCCATGAGATGGAGGGGCAGAGCAATGCATGCCCAGTTCTTCCTTCCAAACTCATTCATCAGGGAAGAGACTGTAGGAGTGCTACCCTAGTAAAGCTCATTTTGCTAGTGGCAGAAACACTGCACCAGGTGTTAGAGCTCAGTAGTGGGTAAAAAGCAATCTCAGTACTTGAGTTCTGGGTAGGAAAGAATTCAGGGCTAAGACTTGAACCATAAGAGAAAGTTTATTAGTAAGTCACAGAGGTAGAAGAAGTGAGCCATAGAAGAAATGGGCTCAGGGAATGAGTTACAGAGGCAAAATAAGGGCTCTTGGAGCTTAGGAAAGAGAGAGAGATACTTGCCTTAAGATGAAATCCAGAGAAAAGGCACAGTGTGCTCTGGAAGAAAGAGAAGGCTCTCTGGGGAAAGAAGGTGTGTGTGTGTGGGTAAGTGTGGGCATGCTCCACAGAGAGCTGTGCAGGATTCTCCATCTTGAGGGCTTTTATCTGGAGGCCTTAGGGGAAAATCTCAATAGACCATTCATCAACTTTCAAGTGTGCCCCTTTGTGGTCTCCACTGATTGGTTGGCACCAGGGGTCATTAGTCAATGCAGCTAGTCCTGATGTCAGCCATGGCATTACACCATCTGATTTTGCTGCTTCTCTGGGCCTGGAGCTGAAACACATCTGAAGCCTAGATGTCAACTTCCCAGAGTTAATGTTTAAGGGAGTGGTCATTCAAGGGCTTATAGTTTTGCCCATTGCTAGGCACCCAGAGCTCTACACCCTGGTGACCATCTGCACCTGGCCTATTGTTCCCACTCTACTCATATCTGTCTAACTGCCTACTATAATTCCAGATGGATGTAAAATTAGGAATGGGGAAAATGCATGCATGCCTAACCTTTCACTGGCATTTCCCATCTCTTCTCAGAAAGCTGAAACCCTGGGGTAATGGGACAGCTGAAACCCTGGGGTAATGGGACAGCTGCTGAGGGTTTGTAAGTCATGGTAGATTATGCATCCTCCTCCACAGAAGTCAAATCAGAGCTGGACTAATGACAGGGCATCTGTATTTGTCTGATGGTCCAAGGAGAGTCCCAGGACCTCTCTGCTTGTTCTGGCACTTTATCTAATTTCCTAAACTCATCCAATCTGATCTTCAAAGAATAGCAGCCCTGGTCTTAAGACTTGGAGAAGAAGCCATTTTAAAATTCCTAGTTTTTAGAGTTCAATAAATGCTTGCCCATCTTTTCAAGACCTACAGATAGGAGGTAGCCCTCTCCCCATTGGCACAGCTCTGGGTACTTTGGGAGTAGGGCAGGCTGTTCTGAATTGTTGCCCTAATTGGCTTTTATAGATGTTACAAGAAAAGCCACCATTCCCTAGGAAAATACCTCAGATGCTCTATGTTGAAAAGGAAGCCTAGATCAGGACTGGGAAGAAGAGAGAGTCCATGTAGCATGGAGGAAGGGCCAGGTTACAGGGAGATGTACAGACCAGATTGCAGGAGAATTCCAGGATTAGCATCATGGTCCATATTCTTGACACAGGCTGGGGCTAAATCATGTGTCAGTGGATCAGGGAAACTTCCAGGATGAGGGCATCATGTCTAAGCCAGGCTAGGGGCTAGGGAGGAATATTTCTAAGTCTATGGGAGGCTGGCAATCCTGAAACTTGAAGAATCTCTGAAATCCATCTTCCATTTGAAGACAGCTAGGGAAGTCTTTGCCTTTGAAGGCAGCCAGAGTATATAGAATAGTACTTACTGTTAGGGTTTGGGGGCTGGTGACTTGGGCTGTGAAAGAATTCACAACTAAGAGAAGAGATAGATACAGTGAGAGAGCGTTTACTTTCCCCCAAGGGAAAGGGCCAGTGCATTGCTAATCAATACAAGGGTAAGGAGCAAAAGCTGCCCCCCACCACCCTGCTTTTAAAGCCTTGGACAAGGAAGGGAGGGGGAGGTGATGCATAATCTACCATGATTTACAAACCCCCCAGACCTCAGGGGGTTGTCTTTGTTAGTTCTTCAGGAGACAATCTGGGCAGATGACCTAGGGAGGTGTCTAATCAGTATTTTTCTCAAGCCTGTAAAACATTCTTAGAGCAAAAGTTATGAAGAGTTCCAAAGAAGCTTGTTTGAAGAGGAGGGGGAAGGGAACTTTCTACTAATTATCCCTGGGTTGTAAACCAGCAGGAATGAAGGGTATGCAAGAATGTACTTTGGAACTAGCTTATCTCTTTCCACATTTTGAACAGAGAGACTGTATCAGAGGAGCTACAAATCTTGGAGTTTGCTTCTCATAAATTGTGGAAGGCTGCAGCAAAGAAAAGAAAGGCCTTTCTTTCATCCTAACATTCACCTTTGTGACATAGTCAGAGCGGTGACAGGAACCTCTCCCAATTGATACTTGATATCCTACCAGCTATGTCTTTAGAATTAAATAGTCCATCTCCCAGTGGTGACTGCTTCTTTATTCTCCATCCTTTATCTTTTATTCTTTGTCCTTCACTTCTCCCTCTCCCTCTAAATCTCTTCCCCTAGATTATAAAAACAGCACATACTACAGAAAAACTGCATAACATTTAGCAAAGTTGAAGATCATTTATAATTTCACCACCCAGTGGCATTTTTTTTGACACACACAAACACACACACACACACACACACACACACACACACTCTCAAGTAGATATACTGTATTTCACAGAGTAGGGTCTTACATACTGCTTTGTAAATTGGTTTTTCCATTTGATCTATTGTGGGATTTATCCACTTATTCATTCAACAACTAGATTGAGTGCCTACTATTTTCTAGACCATTTTCAGGCTCAGAAATAGAGTGGAGAAGATATATAGTGTCTGTCCTCATAGAGTTTAGTCTAGCTCAGTGAGGGCGAACTTTTTGAGCTCGGCGTGTCAGCATTTTGAAAAACCCTAACTTAACTCTGGTGCCATGTCACATATAGAAATTTTTTGATATTTGCAACCATAGTAAAACAAAGGCTTATATTTTTGATATTTATTTTATATATTTAAATGCCATTTTACAAAGAAAAATCAACCAAAAGAATTAGTTCGCGTGTCAGAGGTGACATGTGTCATAGGTTCGCCATCACTGGCTCTAGCTAGAAAGAAATTTACCAAATAATATCTTTCTATAACAACAAATATATATATGGAAATAAGTCATTTTTCTTTTCAGTACAGATTCCTATTATTACTAAAAAAATCAAAGACACACATTGGGAATTAAACTACTATTTCCTCCCCTTCTTTCTAGAGGTGTGATATACATGTTTTCTGGTCCGAAATGTTCTACCAAACATTCCATTATACCAAAGCTGGACAGAGGACCATTATAGCTTGTCTCTACCCCCTTGTACTCAGGCTGAGTTAGACAAATGGAACACTGTTTTGGCAGGAAGATGAACAGAGATGGAAGTGCAGAGCTTGTAGTTACATTTATACCAAACTCACACTCACCCCCAACCACAACCAACCAACTAATTTATACAGAAAGGATTTAAAACAAACCAGCACAAATACTAGTACACTTCATATGCTATAAAAAAGGATATTTTTAGTCTATTTCCAGCATATAGTATATGTTTATCGGTGTCCATCAAAGTAGACACACCAATGCAGAAAGTATTTTTGACTTCATAGCAGTAACAACTAAAATGTGCCATTATTTAATACTTGGATCTTTAAATGGGTAATCATAGAAATCTTAAGACTAAGTCTACTAGATTTGCCTGAGTAGGCAGCTATAAAATTTCTTTTTTCAAAAAATGATACTTAAAAAAAAGAGGCTTCTCTCAAAACAGTGGGACTACACCAGGGCTGGGAGCCGAAGATAAAAGAACTGCAAACTCAAGACCAGGAGTTGATTTTCACATGTAGCTTTTGGGTAAAGGACATCTTTTTGTTTTTTTAGTTTATTCCCATAGACAAGACTAGTTCTAATTTTCCCAAATAGTAAACAGAATATATGAGTTTCAGAAATTTGAAGACAGGGGCAGCTGTTTAACACCCTAGGTAGGCACTCCCAAATAGTAAAAAACTGCACACAGGTGACCCACTGGGTTTGAAGCACTGAACTCTTACTCACGCGCTGGGAGCACATGGACGATTCAGGCAGAGCCTGCCTGTGGTGTTTGGAACAGGCAGGGCTTGTCATGGCATTATTCCACTTTGCTGACACAGGAACCTGTGTGCTGGGGAAGGTCCTTCAGGTGG